AAGTTCTTGTCTTTTTATAGTTTTTAGAATTTATACACTATTAAAAGAAATACCATTTTAATTTTTTATTCCTCTTTATATAAGAAAATTCAAGGTTAATGCCTTTTAAAAATATTTATCAGCGGACCAAATTATTTAATATTAATTAGAATGTGAATATTTTTTATATCTAAAGTTTTTTTTTGGATGAAGTTGATGACTTTTTTATATATAAAGTTGATGACTTTATTATGGTTATTGTTTTTGTTGAGATTGTATATATTATATACGAGTTGAATAATATAGATTTAGGATTGTAGAAAAAAAGTTTATGAAACTGGAATAGTTTTGAAATTTTAGGATGTTTTTATTTAATATATGAAAACTGTTAATAGACGGCACGCGAAAGAATTTGAAAAAACCTTAAATATATAAATTTATAATATGATTGATGTATATATAGCCATTAGATATATATATATATACACGCACACGGTGGGAAAAGGCATAAAATGATCGTGTTATGATCATATCACACGTGTTACCACCACATATTCTATGCGATTTATTATTATTTTAGTTAAAAAAAGGTTAAAGCTTTAGCTTTTGTCTTTCCTTTTTAAATTATTTTCCCCCCTCTTATTTAACAATCATTAGCAACATCATTTTTTTTATGTTATCTATGCCTACCAACTTGATTGAAAAAGAAAATAAAGATTCCATAAAGGAAATTGGTCATTCAAAAAAAATAATTTTTGTCCGATTATTTCAACTTGGGATTAAATTTGCAAAGTATATGTCAAATCATGTGTGTGTGTGTATAGTTGTAATGATTTGTTTGGGTGGAAAGTTTAGTTACAATAAGAATGGCCACGTCGGTTTTTTTTTTTATTTCACGAAACTCAAAAATAAAATATATAATAATAAATATACAGAACAAATATAACTAGATGGGTATTACATTATTAATAATGGTTTGGATTTCCATTTTACGGTTCTGGGTGATTTTTTTCGATTCCAATTTTTCGAAGAATTATATATATTTGATTTTATTTGAGCTTAATAATTATCAAAAATATAAATTTCAACTAAAATTTTGTTTTTTTGTTCGGATAAATTGGGTTAAAATTTACTAATTTCGTTTACTGAAAATTTTATATAATTTATAGCAACTAACCAAGATGTTTAAATATATAAATTTTCGTTCACTCATTAATATCTATAGATCAATTTATGTTCTTTTTTGTAATGATATTTGTAAGTGCAAAATGCTTTTAAACATTATCTCAATAACCATTTTGTTTGGAAAAAAAATTGAAAATATAAATTATTTTCTAGATTTATAATATATTGTCAGCATTCATGAACTGCAAAAGTCATATGTAATATGATTGCACACACTAATAATCATTCGGAGAGGTCCAAGGAAATAAAAAGAATCGTTCACGTTGGTAATTAATAAATGTATATTTGTTATTATTATTGTAATTAATCTTTTGTGTAATTACTTATTATGTTAAGCGTGCAGAGACGATAATGTTATTTTTATTATTAAAGACAATAACTTTTCAGCTATTAAATCAAGTAAAAAAAATACTTTAATTTGACTAAGAAAAAGGGAAATTAATGGGTAAGAAATATAATAAAGAATAAAAAAGCAAACACTCGTAGAAAATATTTTTTTTTTTGGCATTCCCATGTTTGTTGTTTGAATAGAAATAGTGAAAAAAAAAATTACGGTCTGAATCAAGTTTAAATTAGATATCGAAATATCACTTATATTCAGATATTTAAATTAGATTTAACTAAACCACATTTAACAGGGAATATCAATTTTTATATATAACACCAACGCTTTTTTGTAATATTTTCTATGGTTTTTATATTTGAAATAATATAGAGATATGCGTAACAATTTGGAAGTTCGGTGCATAATCAAATTAGGAGTCCGTAGGAGCCCACGTACGTTAATTTCTTTGACCACCGATTTTGTAAGTTCAATGCATTCATCATCGAAATTTCTAATCGAATTTGGACTGTTTAGCGACGCGTTTGTGATTAATTAATGTAATTTATTGGATATTCAATTTCATCCCGTAACCAGAATAATGAATTTATACGTTACAAAAAGAATAATGAATTTATATAAGACGTGAATACAGTAAAAATAGTGAGTATATGCCTACCCAAATTTGAGATAGACGGTTCGATTTTTGGGTGATTTTTCATTATTTTTATTTTGAAATAATAGTTTTTTTTAAATCCTCTATTATATATTATTATAGTATGTTATGTGTATAATCCCTAAAGATTTAGTATTTTAAACAAGAGATAATGCATCACATTTTAAAAATTTTCATGGGTTTTTAACTTTTTTTAAAATTAGTTGGATCTTATAACTATAAGATATATATTTTAAAACATCTATTTTTTTTTAAATCCTACACGGTGTAACCTAGAATACAACATAAAAAAAAATTAAATGCATGTATGTGAAACTACAAATTGTTAAAAAAAAAAGATATTTTGTTTATCGGCAACCAATCAATTTGATTGGATACAAATATCAAAAGAATATCATAATAAATTATGCAAATAAATGGTTACAAATACGTCATCCAAATCGAAATTTGTAGTGACACACGTGGATTCCTAACGTTTTGCCTAATTAGTCATTGCCCTAAGGTCGTGGACTGACTGATTTGTTTTTTTTTTTAATATGACATTTTACGTATATCTTGTAACGAGGGTCAAATTCAAACTTAAAAAATTTCTGACCATCCTAACTTATCTTTCATAGTCCACATATATAGGTATAGAACACTGTCAAGTAATAAAATTTCAATTTAAAAAAAAGAAAAGATTTATGTTCATCAGACTTTTGGTCTTCACCACGACATATTTCATACTTTAGTGCTTATAGCGAATTTATATATAATATATCTATTATGTGTTACAGTTTAGACTATGGGTGACCACATATCGAATATCCGTGATTTTTAAAATATACGTATCCGTATGCGATCCGCACAAATATTCGATTGTATTATCCGTATCCGATCCATAATTTACGAATATCTGTATCCAATATAAAAATTATATAAATAAATTATATAGGTCATTTATATTCAAAATTTAAAATTTAAATATAAATATAATCATAATCTATCATATACAAATATATTCGAAGTTTAAAATTCAAAAAATTAAACATAATAAATCTTAATATTCAAAAAATTAAACATTCTAAATCTCAATTATATAAAATATTTCTTAAATATACCTATAAAACATGTAAATATAAAATAATTTAAATCTCTATACCAAATTATTCTTATATTTAATAATATTATTAATTAGTATTGATCGGATCGGATATGTCGGATAATTCGAATTTGATATCCGTATCCGATCCGTATCCGATAAATATTTCAAAATAAATATCCGTATCCGATCCGTACATTCCGGATATCCGAATTTTCGGTTCGGATACGGATCAGATAACGGATCGATTCGGTATCTTCGGATATTATATCCACCCCTAGTTTAGACTGCACTATTATTTTATTTTTGTTTTTGATAATCTTGAAATTAACCGTAATTTTGGACTAATTACATCTATTTAATCGAAGAAATATAGACACCGAAAATTTTAGAAAATCCATTTTTGTATGTCTATTTAAAAATGTAGTAAGTTTGGGACTTTTAGAGTATAATTAATCATTCAGATTTTTCGGAACAATTGAAATTCGTGTTACTAATAAAACCCATAATTTTATTAAAACGATTACTCTGTCATTATATTGGAAATTAAAATATTTTGGGGAAGAAGAAGATGAAGGCGACGGCTCTTCGAAGTCACAAAGAAAATGACCCTTTGATAAAGCAAAGGTGGGTTTATGTCAATTATAATAAGCAGTAAATTATTTAAATATAGTTAAATAAATTCTTTTTTTTTCGATTTACATCCACATTTGAAGTATCTAGCAATGAATTTAAAACTATCAAAACAACTTCTTTGATTTCATCTAGTCCATTTTTAATTTTTTTAAATGAAGAAATTATTAAATCTTGGGGTCCAACGCATTTTTTTCCCTATAATATCTACTACATCTCTTGGTATTGTGAAAACTCAAATTTGTCATATAAGTTACCCACGTTGGGTTTTGTATATGTTTTTATAGAAAGAGACAATATTCACGATAAAATTATGCGTAATGTTTAAATCTTTAAATTCTAAACTCCAAACGGTGGAATAAAATCGAGATAAATCTTTCTAACCTATATATGGTTATGTAATTCACAATGAATAAATTAAATTATGATGACCAAATATAAAAACATATAAATTTAAGAAATTATTTGGGAGAGCTTCATATGGTTAGGTTAAAGAGTGGAGCACAAAAGATTAAAAAAAAACTAAGTGAAAAAAGAGATTAATTTGGGGGGATGGAGAGAAGTCATTGTCATTCAAAAGTTTGGTAAGTATTGGCCAAATAGAGCAATTGACCATATTACTATTAACATTTTTTTTTATTAAATTAGATTAAAGATCCATTTCACTTTGTACCTTCCTTTAGGAGAAAAATGTAGATAAAATATAAGACATTAAAAATTCTATGAGGCTCTTATTATCATGTTCTAAGAAAAGAACGGTATTTTTTTATGCAAGGTTTTTTTTTGGTATTTTAAATTTTGCAATTCTGCTTTTTACATATCTGTATTATCATATACAATCTATTTCCAAGATATATACACATAAGAAATTTAAATCTAAAAATTTCCTAATTACAAGTTTTCTGTTTACCATATAATGAAGTGTCATAATAATCCCTATTTTGACTGAAGAACACTAAAGCCCAAACATGTTATATCTACTATAATATTGTTCATGTTACTTTAGCCATAGTTTTTAGACAAATTCAGTCCCCATTGGGCTTAAAACGATTTTTTCAAAGAACAAGCCCATATAAGTGTTGGCCCATATACAAGTAGTCCATGTAACGCATTTAGGCAATAACTGAACAAAAGCTGTGGTCTTCACTTCAAGTAGACAAGGGTTGAGACAAAGACAGCATCTAAGTCAACACTTTCCTCAAAGAGTGAAACATATGCTTATACTAAACATTACAAAAAAAAAAAAAAAGGAAGAAGAAGAAGATGTGAATCCAAAAATGAATCCTATCCTACATCTTCCTTCCTCCATGTCCAACTGGAGTTTTTGAACAGCCAGATGGAAAGTGAAACTGACCCACATGGAAGAGAAGAACAGTTGATGCCTGTGATGTAGCCTCGAGGCCTAAGAAGACAGAAGTAGATTGATGAAGCAACTACCTCGAATTGTTATTGTTGTTTTGTACATTACTCCGAGTCTTTCCGTTTTTTCGAAGCGTGCCCACCTTCTTCCCTCTGCTTCTGCTTGGCCTCTCGCCTTTCTCTCTTCACTCCTTTGGCTTTGTTAGGCAATACCATTTCTCCAAGCTGAACATATGAGAAGCCGGAGAGCAGTAGAACTGAGTGTCAGTTTAAAGAAAAAACCCGAAAAAACTGGATGTGTGTATGTGCTTTGGCCTATAAGAGGGAAAAACTTTGTGTAATAATTCCTCTTACCTTCTGATCAGGAATATAAATCTTCCCGATCTTCCCTTGCACTGCATCTTGACTCACGTTTTTCTCCTAAACAAGTATAAACAGAGAATGCTTGGTCATTGGATTCTTGAACTATGGGGAAAAAGGAGGAAAGAGTAGTAAACCTTCTTCTTGGGCTTATCTTTAGCAGTTTTCATGGCTTCTTTCATTAGGCTTTCATTAGGAAGACGATGGCGTCGGATAACCAAGTCCATGGATGGACCAACCTCGACAAGTTCCATTCTAGGCACAATGGTGCCCGACTTTTTAAGCCTCATTGCACAATGAGTAAGGAAAACCTTGTTTTGGGATACAGCTGTACATACGTAGGCACGGTCAATTCCGGCCAGGTTTAGATTCTCCGCAACCTGCAAACAAACAAGTTCCATACTTTTTTAATATTACGCTATAAAGAAGATACATTGATGCTTGGGTTCATTCCTCAAAGGTGAAATGACTCCACTTTCAGCAAGCAATGAAATTACAATATTAGCTGAAAAAGCAGGGCTCAAGTCTAGGAGAGGAGGTTTCGAATAGAAAACAAAAGGATACGGCATATGAAGAAATTTACTTACCTCTCCTCGGAATAGATCTAGCAAGACTTCTTTCAGATGTTTCAGTTCTTGTACGTTCTCAAATCCTTCTCCCATAAAGCAAATGAAAGGCTTTGATCCTTCATGAGGAGCTATTTTCTTCTCGTAAGCAAAAGATTGCAAGGACTTAAAGTTCTCTACCTCAACTTCGATAAAATCGTAGATATGGTGATCGTACATTCTCCCAAGCACAAGATTGTCGGGCCGTTTCTTCGAGTGAGAACCATACTGCAAAAAGACAACTTTCCAGATGTCTGGACAATGCAATGCAAGAAACCAGAGTAAAGCAAATTAATTTCCAAACAATCTCTATTGTCAATTTAACAGAACCTCGAGTTAGCCAATAACAACATTTGGGACTGGTTTCTAAGAATCCACCCGATAAACCAAGCTCGAGATGTCAAAAAAAAATCACAAACCTTAATTTGCACCAAACAAAAAAACAAGCATAACCAAAATCTTCACAAATTAATTATAAGATTTCCACCGATGCCTGGAAGCATTGAATTCAAAGGATCATGAGCTCTACAAATCCAGAGAGTTGTCCTAAAATGGGTCTAGAATTATGAAACTTCTATGAGAATAGTTAATATCTATTTTATATTTACATAACAACTTCATAACTAGAAAACAACAACTGTCTATTGCACGAACAGAACCTATATCTTAGACAAGTAACAATCATGTATAAGGCAAGAACAAAACATTACCACGAAGATACTGCAATCTGTTTTCTGGGAGAAGAACTCCAACGAGGTTTCGCCTCCTGCCTCAAAGGGCCTGATATTCTCATTCTTCCTCGAGTATTTCACAGCACCTCCCTTCTTCAGATGGTACAGTTCCATCATTACGGCATTAAGCGTAGCACTTGTCTTCGTCCCATGAAGTATCAACGTCTTCTTCCCAGTTTCAACCTGTAAATTGGAAAAAATATTTCGGTCATTAGGAGACTTAGACAGGTCCAATTTTGTAGCTTTCTAGCAATAATCTCGCTTTCTCGGTAAAATTTTCCCCAGAAATGTAAATTCGAGCGATCACAAGTAAACCCAAGAACCGATTAGAGCAGAAAACTACAGGAATCGTAAAAAAATTGCAGCTTGAGCAAGATAAACTCTTCTTAACCTCTGAAAAATTCCTCGAAAAACACATGGATGAACAAAAACGGAAATTACAAGCTTAGGCGCGCGCTTCTCGACTTCTCTTTTGCCTTTGCCTGTCTTCGGCGTTTGAATCTTCAACATGATTCTAACCGATCAACCTGCAAACCTTCCACAGTGAAGAGAACGAAGACGGAGAGGGTTTTTCGTTTCCGAGCCTAGGGTTTTAGAGTTACAGCGACAACCCAAAGGAAGTAAATTGCAATACGACCCTCGTATTTTATTATCATTTCTAATATTTCCCCATTATTTATATGTGTATTCGGGAGACCCCAGATGAAGGAACAGAGACAAACAACAAAACACATGCACTCGTTTCAACTTTCAAGACCCTTTTGTACAAGAAAATACAGAGAGATCTTTGGTTTGTTTCTATTTGACAGAGCACATTAAGAATTTACAGAGAAATATCAGTCACTGGTCAGATTCATAAGCACACCAACTTCTTCAAGTATTGCTCTTTCGGGTTCAAGTGATTAGTATATCTTCTTGGGTCTTTATACAACATGACGCCACAATGAGAAGCTTCTGTCTGAAACCACAAGCTCTTCAGGCCTGCCCCCAAAGCCAAATCACCACTTATTGCTTCCCTGCATAAGTCAGGAAAGATCCAAAGTCCTCGGCTAAGTCTAAAACTCAAAACCATATGCATATGGTTACCCTTTTCCTTCACAGCCATCAATCAGGGAAGAGCTTAGTATAAACCCCAAGAGCATTTCCGGAATTAGACATCATAGGATGCCGAGTGGTTCTGTCTTGATGAAACAGGAAACAGGGGGTGAAGATTCAAGAAGGCATACCTAGTAGAAGTTTTTCAAGCTCTTCCAATTGCTTAATGAAACCGGCGTTAGGAGACGCCACCGGCCTTTTGCTCTTGACGTGTTGCAACGCTTGGGATAAGGTCATACCGTGTTTTTTCATCAGGTAAGCAACAACAACAGTGACACTGCATGACAGAAAAAAATAGGAAGCTTTATCATTCAGAAAGTGCATTATTGCAAGATCCTAAATCCGTTTATCTACAATGAACCCTTATAAATTCTGATTCTGTTCAGCTGTTTGGCATGCCAGAAAATGTCGAATCTTTTTCGATGAGCCACTAAGAAAGAAACAAGAAGGGTCGTGAGAGATGACCTCCGTGATCGTCCAACAAAGCAGTGAACAAGCACACCACCGCCTTGTTTCTTCGCTTCATCAATGAAACCAGCGCAATCGTCAAAATATTGTGCTAAATTTGTGTCTTCCTTGTCCACAACTATCACATTCAAGCAGGCAAGAAAAATACTTAGACATCCTAAAGGGCTCAAAACAAAAGATTGAACCAATTACTCAACACTGTCAGAATGGTTTCGTAAAAAGAAAACAATTAGCAGAGCAAGAAACGAGCACGGAATAGAAGTGAAGGCAATGCCTCGAATTCATCAAGTAGTTAAATATTTTGTTTAGCAGATCACAGAAAAATCTTCAGGGCACTGCCATGGAACATATAATGTATACCTGGAACAATCTTATACACAAAGTCGTTCGGGTGGGACGGTCTCAATGAGCCGGCGACAGTTAAGATGTGCGTAATGTTGAAGCTTTTCAATATATTCCGGTTGTTAGCTGCTCCTATGGATCCGAGATAGAGACCCTGATCATTTTCCAAACAAAGAATTTGAATCCAAAGAGCGAATCAGACAATATAGGAACAACAGCAAAAAACATGTTTGAAATTTCTGGTCAAGGCATGAAATGAAACTGTGAAAATTTGACCTCTTCAATCTGATTTGGAACTTTGTCTTCTCGGTAAGTACGTGCCACACTTATAACACGCAGAAGTGCTTCTATTTGATTCTTCATGGTTTCCCCATGCTGATCCATTGCCATGTTTGAGAAAGATGAAGGAACTTCTTCTAAGCTTCTCTATTGCAGTTCTCCGAACAAATCCTTAAAAAGGAAAACAAAAGGGCCAACCTTTGTGGTCAATTTACGCAAAATTACAGTGAACAATCTTCCCCAGATCCCAAACATGACGCATTGGTCATTGCAAGGAGAGAAAGTTGATAGAACAAGACAGGCTCAATGTATCAATGAAACACAACTCCGGGTTCCTGAGAAAATTTTGTCAGATTCTCGAAAACCGAAACGATTAGCTTTCTGGGTTTATCTAGCAGCGCATTTCATTGATTGGAGACAGAACAATTCGCTGATCTCAACGATAAGCTAAGAACAGAAGAACCCTAATTGTAACCAGAAATCCCCATCTCGGACAAGCTGGAGACAAAAATCTACGAGACTGGATCTTTGAAGTTCCGATCATCAATTCAAATAAAAGAAACAAGAACAAATCGAACAAAGAAAAACCCGATTAAAGCGATTCAAGCGGTATGATTAACACCATCAATTAGGTTTTACCGGAGATAAAATGGATTATCGGACGATGAACGAAGAAGGAAGAAAAATTACCTCAAAAAATGCAGGAATTCGACAAACAAGAGGTCCCGAGGATCAGAGAGACAACAGAAAGAAATGGGCGAATCTGAATTCGCAAAAAGAATAGAACTAAGTCTGCATGGTTCTCCAGATTTATGGGAAGGAGTTGTGGTCGGAGACAAAAGCTGCATAGAAGGGGTCTGTGTATATGTATGTGTGTATATACATGTAATACATATCAATATAGAAGCATGCATTCTAACAATACTCTTCGAAGCACATGACATGACCCATGATTTTATTACATCATACATAAACACAACCATCACAAGCATTACAAGCATTAATAAAACACAAACCTTTCATACAAGATTGCATAGGACTGACATTCAGACAAGACATCACAGCTCATGGGTCTGATAGATTTGATAGTTTTCTGGATATGTATACACATATATACCATTCATACAAAGAATGATACATACATACACACACACACCAAAATGAAAGATCCAAACTCTGATCTTTCACTTGACATGGATCAAAGACCACTCCAGCATGTCCTTATGAGCCTCTTCAGCAGCTTTAACCGCTTCTGCATCACTCTCTTCGTACCTAACGCTCCATCCATGCTCCACATTTGGGTATATCTTCACGTAGCTCTTCACCTGCACACAAAAACACATATATGATCCATCCGTTTTTTTGCGATTTTTGCAAGCTGAAACCCTCGAATGTTCTGTTTCTAATTTCAGTCTGACAACGAACACGTTAAACAGGATCAGGGCAGAAAGAGAGGAAGTGTATTTACATCGGGTTTGGAAGCCAGAGCTTCTGAAAATTTCTTCACGAGCTCAGGTGGGGTCGTGCCATCAATCTCAGCCCCTAGCACAGCAATTGGAGTCTTGACCTCTGCGGATAATTTCAAACTTTATTACAGTTTTGCTTTGTGAAAAAGATCAAATCTCAAGGCTGGATCTGTGTGTGTAAACTGATTCTTGTTATTGAAGTAAGAGGGTCGGTCCAAAGGTTGGATCTTACCCTTGATATCGTCGACAGAGACGAGAGAAGGATGAAGCAAAACAGCTGATTGAATAAGCTGGCGTTTTGCCAGTTCCACCACAACCTTTGCTGATGATATGACGAAAAAGGGGATAAGACGAAACAATCTCGAGATCTTATTAAGACAGCATCGGATAAGATAAAGTGAACGTGCGGAATGCAAATAATTTCCGAAAGATCTGTTTTTTTTTCGGTGTCAGAACCAAAAGAACAACTGGAATTTACCACCGAAGCAGACCCCTGTTGCTCCAATGGCGTCTATGCCTTTGCTCTTCAAAGCCTCAATAACTGGCTTTGAGTACTCAAATCCCTTCTCCTATGATATCAAAGCTCAGTTAGAATCTAGAAGAACCGAAACAATACAGCGGTGCATTACAGAGATTTTGAAAATGAATCTTGCAGAAAACCATGAGAATGAAAGGTCAATCCAAAAGAAAACTTTGAGAACAAAAGAGACTTGATCTGAAAGATTTTGTCAGGACAAGCAACTAACTGGTCCATGATCCTTGATCCAGACAGGAAGAGGTCGATCCTGATTCTCGGGCGTGTAGGAATCTCCATGGAAGAAGTCAGGAACCACCACATAGAACCCAGCGGCTGCAACCTTGTCAGCGAGTTTCCTTGCATAAGAAGAAGAAAGCCAGCATCAGTTTGCAGGAAACTTAAAACCTTACAGTCAAAAACTGCAGAATCAAATTCAAAAACTCTTGTTCGAATGCAAATGCAAATGCAAAAGCAAGATTAGTTGCTTAGGCTAAGCAATAGCCGTTATCAGACAGAAAGAGACAATGAAAGCCTGAGATGTGGGATCAATCAGGCAAGGTGAATAGTACCTCAAGTTTGGAGCTTCAAATCCTGCAGAAAGAATACGGATAAAGATTTCAGAAAGAAAACACGAAAGAAGACAGGACATTATAGAAAGGAATCAAGATCTTCCTGAGTTACTGAAAGCTCAAGCAAACAACCGGGTCAAGCTTCATACTTTACACTCTGAAACCAAATGGACAACAAGAATCAGATGCAAAAAGATTACCGAAAGCATCAGAGGCGAGAAGAATGGCGAACTTGGAATCAGGGGAGCCAGTGACATAGGCGTCAAGGCCACCGAGCTTCTCGACGTGACCCGACCCGGCATTCGGGATCTTAACGGGCGGGTTTTGGCAGCACTGAGGGCCCATCATCGCCATTGCTGTTCTTGTTCTTGGAGATAAGAATCACACTTGACTACTTTTGCTTTTGCTCTTGCTCTTCTTCTCGGTGACAGACTCAGTTTATATAATGGCTTCAGAGGGTAGGTTTTGCATTGCCCATGGATCTCCAAAATCATATCTTCCTTTTCTTTTCTTTTTTCTTTTCCCTGTCAGCAATCTGCTCAATCTTTTTTTATTTAAAAATTTGGCAAAGACAAATCTTGAAATTTTTAAATAAGACAAGGAACGAATCAGAGCTTGTTTCTAGAAGATAAGATACAGAGAATCAGAAACATACTGACTCCCATTCTAAGATCCACCTGAAAAAGTTAGAAAACGTGAATCAGGAGAATGCACAGACACAGAGGTGATGTATTGCTTCACAAACTGTTCTAAACAACACTTTCTCTCTGACAAAACATACACTTCTTACAAGACAAGAACATCCAAGATCCAAGTATACTTTGCCAAGTCTTTCGTGTATTCGTCTCTCAATAACTCTTTTAACTCCTCAAAAACCGGAGAGAAAGGTTAGTCCAGTCCAGTCCAGGAGGAGGGTTTTTTGTTTGTGTACTTGAAATTTCGAATAATACTGCAAATCACTTTCCATATATAATCATAAACACGTACACAAGCGATACAAATACCTCAAAACAAAGATACATACGTATATGTCCAGCTTCTGACATGACATTCTCACAAAACATGAAGCAAGAGTCTTATTCTGTGTCTGAAACTTATTCTTTCAGATGAACTATACGTAAGTACCGGGGTCCAAGCTTTCTCTCATTTGACATAGGTGATGAACCAGTCAAGCATTTCCTTGTGAGATTCTTCCGCAGCTTTAACCGCTGCTGGATCGTTGGTATCGTACCTAACGCTCCAACCATGCGATACTCCCGGGAATATCTTCACATAGCTCTTGACCTGCAGTATAGACATGATGTCCATCTTACCATTTCCCAGGGAGAATACCAAATGGAAGTTACTAAGAGAATCAGAGACGAGTAGCCTACCTCGGGTTTAGAAGCTAAGACTTCTTCGAATTGCTTCAGGAGTGCGGGAGGGGAGACGTGATCTAACTCGGCTCCTAATATAGCAAGTGGAACCTTCACATCTGCGATCATGACGTGAATTATCATGATAAAGGAAAAAAAACTCGAATGTTTGGATGCCATCGTGCCAACCCACTTCCATATCGGTAGAGGAAGAAAAAAGCAATGGAAGAAATAGCAGTTGTTCTTACTAACCAAGCGAATATAGCCATAAGCAGATGCCTAGTTGTTCATAAATTCATTTGTATGTATCTGTTTTAACATATATCCTCTTTATTGAAATAGGGGGTAGAGACCTAAAGAACTTGTTGTGATTATGTAGAATGATGGCTGTCCAGACAAAGGAATGAGAAAACATATTCTCTGTTTCTTTTTTTAAGGTTAGCTTCTTGACCTACTGGATTGTATAAACTTAAATGTTAAAGAACGAGAAAAGACACGAAAAATGTTGTCCTGGTTTATGAGTGAATGATGAATGGCAAGAATTAGATAGGTCAAGGCATTGAATCTCTTACCTTTGATATCATCAACCGTGACGAAGGAAGGGTGAAGAAAAACGCCTGCTTGAATAAGTTCAGTTTTATCCAGTTCCACCACGACTTTAGCTGAGATTGAAGTGCAAAAGGGCAGAGAAAAATCAATTGTATTGGACACTTTCCCCTGTATCTAAAAGCAAAAAGTGTAAAGAATGAGAAGAGCAACTCACCGCCCCAGCACATCCCGGCTGCTCCTATGGCCGTTATGCCTTTACACTTTAAGGCTTCAATCACGGGCTTCGAGTCCTCAAATCCCTTTAACTGCAAGATAAATCGAACTAAATCAGAAGAAGAGTCTACCAAACGATGGAACAATAATAAGATGAAACAGCGCCAAAACCCTAAGTAATCCTACTAGACAGGATGCAGAATCTGCAGTTAATGGTACAGGAACACAACCAGACAGAACACTTTGGTGTAAAAGAGATTTTGCAAAATATGATCTTATAGCAAAGCTTGAGGATAAAAGTTTTACTCTACAAGACAAATGTGAACAGAAACACAAAACAGGCAGAACGTATAAGGAAGAGCAACTGACCGGTCCATGGTTTTTCAGCCAGACAGCAATAGGCCCATAATCCTCCACACCATTATAGGGATCTCCATAGAAGAAGTCGGGAACCACCACATAGAATCCAGCGGCCGCAACCTTGTCTGCAAGTTTCCTTTGACAGCGGAAGTAACCAAGTATGAGTTTCCAGTAGAGTTACCGATTTTCAGCCAATAGAATAGATCCAAGATGCAGAGCACAGAAAACACTCATGACCAGACAGTTGCAGAACAGCAATCTGACAAACTCGTGCAAAAAACTAGCAGACCAAGAGAACATCGAGAACCCGAGATATGAGGTTATGGGTTTACCAATAGAATTGCAGCCATCGCAGTTAGAGACAATGAGTTGGTAATCAGTGTCAAACTTAATTATACGCAGATGAGGACATATTATGCAAAAGATTCATCACAACCTCTAAGAAACAAGGAAGGAATAGTGCAGCTAGATAGCCCCTTTTGAGGAGATAGATCCTCTTGCATAATAGAATTCATTCATTCGTTTTGACCCACGAAAAAAGTTTCAAACTTTAAAGTCACAAAACTACAAAATACCATCACAGAGCAGAATCAATCATGGAAGAAGTCATAGTACCTCAGATTTGGAGCTTGATATCCTGTAGAACAAATTAGGGGAAATGGTAAAAAAAAGGTCAGGTAATATAATAGCAATGAAAGATCAACTAAACAACGAATACATCTTCGCTAAAACATGATCTTCCTTCGCTACTTGAAGAAAAAGAAATCAACTTTATGATCAAACAAACAAACCCAGATCAAAATCTGTAGCCTTGGAACAAAAGAACCGAAATTTCAGAGAAAGAAGCGAACAGAACCGAGAAAATTGATGAACCAGGAGAGAAGATGAAGAGAAAAATCACCGAAAATATCAGAAACGAGAAGGATCCCGCGATTCGAATTGGGGGAGCCGGTGATGTAGGTGTCAAGGCCACCGAATTTCTCGACACGACCCAACCCGGAATTCGGGTCGAGGGTCGGTGGGTTTTCGCAGCACTGAGGACCAGACATTGTTCTTCGCCGATCAGAGACAGCAACAGGGGATCGTTGAACTTGTTGTTCTTGCTCAGTGCTTTTCTCTCCTGTCTTCCCCAGTTTATGTAAGGGTGGCACAAGTCCGAGGGAAAGAAAGCGAGAGGGGAAAAAAAGATAAATTTAAAATAAAAGAAAAGCAAAGAATTTTCTTCATGATTGTTTGAAGAAAGCCTGACTCTTGGCACCATTCTTCTGTACACAAGGAGAAAAAAAATACCACCATGAATTATAATATAAATTCTTTAATGTTTATTATCACCCACCTTGCATCATACGGCGTCTACCGAAATTGAAAGCTTTTTTTTTTTGAATTATTGTAGAATGTTCCACTACCAGAAGTATAATCCATTGTCATTACAAATGGAAGAATGAATTGTGGGAAAGTGTTTGACTTTTTCATAAATGCAAAAGCCACAAGACCAAAAACAATAATACAATCTGATAACTAAGTGGTGAAGGGCCTGCACGCCTTGTATAGACTCGGTTCGGATTTGGGATGAGAATGTATCGGTTCAACTTTTTCGATTTTACAAAAATAGATATCATTCGGTTTTTATATTAGGTTCGATTTCGGTTTTTATTAAAAAATAGATTTTTTTAAAAAAATTTCGATTTTTCGGGATTTTTTAAAAATTGATTCGGTTCGCTTGGGTTTCAGAAAATTCGATTTTTTAAAAATAATACCGTTCGATAATTTAGAACGGTTGAGATAAAAAAAAATACCGTATTTTTCAATTTAGTTCGGTTCAATTTCTGAGGCCCACCCTTATTTTCCTTCACCATTCTCTCTCTCGTTCTTGTGAATTTTGAACAAGAAAAGACCCATTTTTGTCATCAAGAAAAGACGCCCCTTTTTCTAGAGTATCCACAACAACAACGACATTGTCGTAAGCCCTCGTAATCGTTAGGGCCAAAAGCGTCAAAGACAGAGTCTTTTGTGGAAAAGTCTTCAGCTTTTTGTCCTAAAAGGCTATTGGCTCTCTGTTCTCACTTGCTTTTTAATAGTCCGATTTCGATCGTTTCTGTTCTTTGGCGGCCTTGACTTACAAATCCGATTCAGATCAGAGATGTGAAATCTGTCTTCCAGCCCAGATGGAGATGTAAGAAAAAAAAAACATGTTTTTTTTTTTCTTATTATAGCATCAGAACCACAAATACAGAACAAGTCCGATGCCAAAACACTAACCTTGCTTGTTTCTGCATGTTATTCATTACATGAACAAGGACATGAACAGCATGTTTCAGATTTCACAGACTTGCCATAAGCTCGTCAGAGGTGGGTGACAAACCAATCCAGCATGTCCTTGTGAGCTTCTTCTGCCGCTTTAACAGCAGACGGATCATCGGTGCTGTACCTAACCGTCCAACCGTGCGTGGTTTTCGGGAATATCTTCACGCAGCTCTTCACCTACACCCGTTGTTTCAGCCGGTTTCACGTTTCCAATAACATAAAAAATTATTATTGGATCGTGCATCGGTGCACACAGCTAAGTTGCAGGAATTTCTTAAGGATGTTACTGTCTTTTCGGCTTTTGATAAAACAAAACGATACGAGAATCAGAACCATAGAAGAAGAGGAGAAGCCGAACCTCGGGTTTAGAAGCAAGGACTTCTTCAAATTGCTTCAGGAGTTCGGGAGGCGACATGTGATCAATCTCGGCTCCTAATACAGCAAGTGGAACCTTAACTCCTGCAAGAATCGTCCAGCTAGATTATAATCAGAGCATTATAAAAGGGGGGAAAAAATCCGAATCCTCAGACACAAACCGTCTTCCACTTCAGAAGAGGAAGACAAAGTGAAGTAGACTATGGAAAACTCTCTTTCTTGTGCAATAAGAACCATGGCATAGACACAGTAATAGCTATTTTACAGTGCATGAAGATTTCTCTTTTTTTTTCAAAATCGTCTCTCTCTGATCCCATAGACTGGTATGATTCTAAATGATGGAGAATGAGGCAAGGCATGAAAAAAGCTGTCCCGGTTTATACGTGAGTCGGGACAGCAAAGATTAGATTTCAAAGTGAGGAAGCTCTTACCCTTGACATCATCAACCGTGACAAAAGAGGGATGCAGAAAAACGCCCGCTTGAATAAGCGCGTCTTTAGCCAGTTCCACCACGACTTTTGCTGAAATTAAGACCCGTGAGGAAAGAGCAAAAAAAATGTATTAGAAATTTCCAAATGGCAGCTCATAAAAATTGGCTTTTGGACATAAACTTTACAGAAAACATGGTTTGGGGAGATATGTCCTTAAAAGAGACAAGATGAGAGCGAGTAACCAACTCACCGCCCCAACACATCCCTGCTGCTCCAATAGAAGTTATGCCTTTGCTCTTCAAGGCTTCAACTACTGGCTTTGATTGCTCAAATCCCTTATCCTATACGATCAAATTAACCAAATTTGTCAAACAACGAATGTTAGCAAGAGTCTTCACGTGCTTTTGAGGGTTCGGGTTTTTATAACCAAAAGTTTGATCCTTTCGTGCATTCCATTGGATGAAATACCAATCCACATTACAATAAAAAAGCACCTAAACCTCATATAGTCCACTCAGACAATGCATCTTGCAGTAAGTGTTAAGAACAAAAGCTAGAAGACAACTGCAAACAGAATCACTGGTTAGAGAAAGGAAAAGGAACATACTGCTCCATGGTCTTTTATCCAGACAGCGATAGGCCGGTCCTGATTCTTGGGATCATAAGGATCTCCATAGAAATAATCAGGAACCACCACATAGAATCCAGATTCTGCAACCTTATCCGCAAGTTTCCTTTGAGAGCAGGAGAAAACCGGGATCAATTGTCAGTAAAGTAAATCTATACAGTCAATCGACCACAGAGCACAGATACGGTGAAACTACGATAAGCTTCTAGTGAATGAATCTAGGAGTCCCAACAATTTTTTAGGAAACGAAAAGCATGAAGGTGGCTTAATAAACGCATTCTACAACTATTTGAAGCCATTCAACAGAAATAATTTACGAATTTCACCATGTCCCGTAAAAACTAAAACCAGGAAGAACGTAAAATATCAAATACGGCGAAATCTTTACAGAAGAAGCTGAGATTCGGTTTCCCTCTGTAGATTACCCTAAGGGAGAATCTCGAGATATTTCCACACACCATGATACGAGGCAAATATCATCTGTTATAATTTTACACACCACTGGCTGTTATAGGAGTCAGATTTTTTGTTCTTTGACCTTCAAGATCATCAGATAGCCAATAAAAACCGCACAAACGTAGTTAGACGCAACGAATCTAAAACCAAACTCATGTTTATTTGTACGTAGATAACTATATATTACAGAAATGATCGATCATGAATACATCAGTTGCCTGATGTTACAAGCCCATAAGAGACGAGAACCAAAGTCTGCAGCCAAAATTCATCCTTTTCGAGTTAATCAAAGCAAAAGTTTCCGACTTTAACGAGAAACAAGATGACAAAACACAATCTAATGACCGAATCAAGCGGATAAGAGCTCGTAGTACCTCAAGTTTGGAGCTTCATATCCTGTGGAAACAATAGTTCAACAAAACAACCAAATGGTCAACAAATGAGGCCAAAAGAGAGAATAATGTGAAGCAATAGAATCAAACTGAAGCAGGACAAGATTCTAACACATCTCACTGAACCTAATTCTCAATGTAGCATAAAGAAAAACTCAGGAATTAAGACTAACCTAATAACACTAATCGATTTCTCCACCATTGATTCCCAAAAAAGCAACTCAACTTTATACGTGAAAGACGAACAAAACTCCGAAATCGATAAACCCTATTGCAACTAGTACCGAATTGACAAACCAATCACGAGAAATCATATGACAAGGGCAAAGTAATTTCCGGGCAAGAACATAGAAAAACTGCAGCAGGGTTGAAAGAAGCGATCTGAAGAAGATGCGGGAAATTACCGAAAACATCAGATACGAGAAGAATCGCGCGGGTCGAATCGGGCGAGCCAATGACGTATGCATCGAGGCCACCGAGCTTCTCGACACGACCCGACCCGGATTTCGGATTCAGGGTTGGTGGGTTTTCGCAGCACTGAGGACCCGACATTTTTTCACCAGCTAGCGGAAACAGACCAGAGGAACCAAACTCAACCCACTAATGCGTTGTCTTGCTCTCCTCCATTTATATGAGCAATGGGTTTAGAGAATGTTCTGGTATATACGCTTCGCTCTGATGATTGATGAACACACAAACTCAATTATTATAACAGATCGTATTAAAAAAAAAAATCTATGGAATTTTGTTTTGTTTTTTGTGTATGTGAATGGACCTTCGATTTTTTTTTAGAATTTATTATTATAGCATAGATAAATAAATTGATAAAACGAAATTAGTTTGTGTTCTTTTTTTTAAAAGAGTACAAATTTATTTTTTTGGGTAGAAGATATATTTTTTTAGGAGGTGAAGTTTGAATCGGTAAGAATTATAGATACCATTATGGATATTTCAGAGATTAATACCCCAATCTTGAAATTAAAGAGTTTAATACTTAACCAATTCGGGATTTCCCCTTAGAATAATTAAGTCTTGGATCCATATTTCATCAAAACTTTTGGTCCGAGTTTTGTTAATTATGTTTAAAAGATATCGAATTTCACAATAAAGGGAGGAAAGAGAAAAAAAAAACCCTAATTAACGTCTGATAATTAATTCCAATCTAAAACTTTAAAAAAGATAATATCCAAAAGACTCGAAACCATAATAAAACCTAACAAAAATAACGAAAGTAGGGTTTCTACTGGAATGAAACTAACTAACTACGAGTTCGAACAAGACATAGAAGATGTCGATGATCAGACTTGTTCGACGGCAGCTGCCGTCTTGCGGGCGGCTTCATCGTCATCGTCCATGAACTTGGCCCAGACAGGATGAAGCTTCCAGACACGGTCGACCATGGCGTCGATGGGGACGTTCTTGGTCTCGGGCAAGAGGAAGAAGACGAAGAGAGCCATGAGGAGGATCCAGGCGGCGAAGAAGAAGAAGATGAAAGCTCTCATGCGACAGAGCATAGAGAGAAAAGCCTGAGCGATGATGAAGGTGCAGACCATGTTGGTGCTGACCGCGCATGCGTAGCCTTCGGTCCTCATCTCCAGCGGAAAGGTCTCGCTCGGAATCAGCCATCCCATCGGGCCCCACGACCATGCGAACGCTATCACGAACATACACACCAACACCACCACCACTATCCCCATCCCCACTGTCAGCGTGTTCGCCTCCTTCAAGTATCCCAGCAGCAGGCCCCCTATTGTCACCTGCATGCCCAGTTGTTCAATAGAACGATCAATATATAAAGTCTCCACCTTTACGTGATGCGATTGGGATCTTGAAAAAGCATGGATCTTTACGTGTTATGTCCACTGAATCGTGAAAAAGTATGGATCTTTACGTGTGATGCGGCCAGAATCGTGGAAAAATACAGATCTTTACATGTAAATTAGGTATCTGAACAAATATTTACCTGCGAGATGAACATGATGACGCAGGCGGCGAGGAGCAAGAACCGGCGGCCGGCCTTGTCGACGGCGAAGATAGCGAGGAGAGTGGCGAGGACGTTGAAAGCGCCGGTTATTACAGAAGAGTAGAGAGAAGCTCCGCTCTTCATTCCAACTGTCTGAAATAGGACAGGAGCGTAGAACATGATGGAGTTGATGCCTGTGAACTGCTGAAACACCTGAAGCATCACTCCGATTACTAGCGGAGGCCAGTTCGAACGCTTCTTCGCCATCTCCCAGAACGATCCCTTCGCTCTCTCCGCCTTCTCGCACGCCTCTTTGATCTCCTCAAACTCCTCGTTCACTTCCTCCACTCCCCTAATCTTCTTGAGAGCCTCACGGCCCTTGGACTCGTGGCCTCGTTGGACGAGGCTCGTTGGTGTCTCCGGGATTACGAACGATCCGACGAAGAGAAGGACCGCCGGTAAAGCAGCCACACCGAGGGAGACTCTCCATCCGTGAGGGTGAAGGAACGAGGTGCCGTAGTTGACAAGATTGGCGATCAGGATGCCGATGGTGATGAAGAGCTGAAACATGATGTTCACCGATCCACGTCTCTTCACAGGAGCAACCTCCGACAGGAACAGCGGAACCGACTGTCGCATATACATAAAAGATCAAGAATCTGAATCAGTGAATACACAAAAAGATCATCGATCGAAGATTCAAAAGGAGGGAATCAAGGGTTAGACCTCGTTGCCGAATCCGACGCCAAATCCGAGGAAGATACGGCCGAAGATGAGCATCCAGAGGGACTGAGCGGAGGCACTGAGAGCGGCTCCGATGAGGAAGAAGATGGAAGCTAAGAGAATGGTGAGTCTCCGGCCGAACTTGGAGCAACACTTGGACGCTCCGAAGCTGGCAACGACCGCAGCAAGATACAGAGAGGAAGTGAACAGCTGAAGCAACTGGTCGTCGAATTTGCAGTAGTTGTTCTCCTTCGCATGCATCTTCCTCTCGTACACCCTCGGGAAGAACTTTACCAGGAAGTCATTCATCGCCGTCACTCCTCCTGCGATTAGGGTTTCGGTTACTTGCGTGGAAAGTAAACAGAAACAAAAGCAGTGTACAATAACTGAAGAAACCAGTACCTGAGATGCCGATGTCGTAACCGAACATGAGGCCTCCGCAGGCGGCGAAGCACCAGCAGAAGATGACGTAGATCGAACTCTTCAATGTCTGATCCGTCTTCATCTTTGACGTGAAAAATCTCAGAACACAATTCGAAAATCCTCAGAGCAGACAGTGAACGTGAGTTTGAGAAGAAGAAAAGAGATTCTCGACGGTTTCGATCGAGGGGTGTGTGGTCTTATTTATAAGAGGCTTTTGCCTGATTTGACCAGGATTTGGATTTTAGGGTTTAAGGAAGGAAACGTACGTGGAGGATATTACAATTAGGAAACTAATTTTGATTAAGACTCCTAATTGCTCAACGATTAAGAAACCTGATATGGCTAGAGTTCGATCGTAGCTTTACAACATTATCTTCTCACACAATTTTTTTTATAATTATAGTTAACTTTGATTTACATGCTATGTCTTCCAAGAACAATTAAGGAATGAATGTTGTGAGTTATAATATAAAACCTTTAGAATTTCATTACCTAGATATTTGCTTATTTGAGCTCAAGTGGAAATTAAGATAAATACAAAATCACAAATTAATTACATATTTAATGGCTAATTGCTCAAGGATTAAGAAACTTGATATGGATAGAGTTCCAGCAGATTTACAACACTATCTTCATCACGCAATTTTTTTTTTTATAATTATAGTTAACTTTGGTTTATTGGCCAAGCTATATTTACCAAATAAAAATAAAAATTCAAATTCAATTTTTTTAATGTCGGTTTCTCTTAAATCTAAAGCCGTTTTTCCCTTTTTTTTTCCCTCTTAGACAGTAAATTCAAGTAATTAATCTACTGTGTTCATGAAGTTTAGTGTTAACTAAATTTTACAAAGGAATGAATATTATAAAACCTTTACAATTCCATTAACTAAATATTTGTTTATTTGATATTTAAAGGCTAATTAATTGGATGTAACCATGATTCCAATTACAAAAACTGTTAAATTTGCCATGAAAAGATTGTTTCCCAATTTCGAGCCGAATCACATGTGAAAGCGATATTATTAAGATCGTGATTTTGGGTCGATCTAAATTCCGTGATCTAATAACAAAAATAAAATTTGTGATTAGTTTTAAACCGTTCGATCTAAATTACAGATCGTCTCTCTCTCTCTCGCCTTCTCTACCTATGTATATCTTCAATATGTGTATGCATATAATATAATCATTAATTATATGAAACAATTTATTTATTTTTTTCTCTGTAACATGTATAAAAACAAACTTGATATATTGAAAATAATAAAAACATAACATTTCTTATATTATAATACGACGTGATCGAAGAGTTCTTGATGCGGTTCCAATGGACTTGAATCAGTATTCCGTCACAAAAGACAAATCTCGTCGGATCTTCAACGGAGACGGCGGCCGGCCGGCGGTGGAAACCGGCAAGGACGTTTGAAACTCCGGCGAGACACGACGTGGATGGACTTACGATGAGGAACATAACTCCGGTGGTGGTCCGGCGAGGAAGCCACGATCATTGGATTGTTCATGAATAGGAACACGGCGAATATTATCGAAATATAGAACAGAATGGATCTCATCTTTGTAATAATATGATTTCGATTTCGATTTCGATTCTTTATATACGTATATATGGATGTATGTATATATAGTAGTTGCAAGTCTTTCTTTACGCGTTTAGGGTTGGCTTTGTCAAAGGTCAACCATTTGGAATGGAAATGAATGTGATCATAATTCTACCTAGGGATGTCAATTAAGTCCGGAGCCCGAAACCCGGTCCGAGTCCACCCGAAAATTATAAGGACATGGGCCTAAAAATGTAGGCTCATTAAATTTCGGGTTTTTGGGCCTCGGACCAAATGGGCTACGGGCTGGTCGGGCCGGGCCTGTCGGGTCTCGGGCCGGGCTTGAGGCCCGTTAATTTTTTTTGTTTTTTCTAACCTTCTTTTCTAAACCAAAGTTTTACATCTCTATACTTATAAATATATGTGCCTAAATATATATATATATATGTATATATATTTGAACCAAATGATGAACTTTTATATCTTGGTTCCAATTAAACTTTTTAAAATGACGGGAGTTTTGAATTTCTTAACCATATTACATCATATATATATATATAAGTTTACATTTTAGAAATGGTAGAAGTTTTCAAATATATATATTTTTAAACCTTTGTTTGTATATGAACATATTGATTTTTTTCTATAGGTTTTAAATTAATTACATCATAGAATTTCTTTTTATATTTTTAAATGTTTTGTGTTTTGGTCAAACCAATGTTGCTTGCGTATATTACAAGTTTAATAAATTATATTTTATTATTATTTTATAGTCAAGAACTATTAATAATCCATAATCCATAAACAAATCACAAGATTTCCGACTTGACAACAAACCACAATCATCCATAACAAAAAAAAAACATTATGGACCCTACTGATTATAACGCTACGGCTGTAATTATGGGTGGTGGCCGGCGTTTTTAGAACGTTATAGCGATTATAAATGATTAGTAATAAATGGTTGATAAGTTACCGTTGACTTGCATGTGAGTATTGAGGTTGTGACTGTTTTTTGA